CGAATTAGTCTTTGTAAATTTTTTCAGATTTTTAATAGGCCAAATAAAAATTTTCATTTTCCCACCTAGGACTTCAGTACGATATAGTCACCGAGCCATCTTCGGACGGCCGAAAGTGCCAGAAATAGGCAAAAATCCACGCGAATTATCGCTTTTCCAATAGAAAATGACACGCTGAATCGAATGAGACTATAATAAGCTCCATAGAACACATAGTTTTCGAGATATCGGCGCTCAAAGTCAGCTATTCGCTTTTATTGTCAATAGGAGAACTCCTGTAGGCTACTACGTCTCCATTTTCCAAAATTTCCCAATTTCCACCACAGATTCGTTCATTTCGACATCGAATTAGTCTATGTGAATTTTTTCAGATTTTTAATAGGCCAAATGAAAATTTTCATTTTCCCACCTAAGACTTCAGTACGATATAGTCACCGAGCCATCTTCGGACGGCCGAAAGTGCCAGAAAACGGCAAAAATCCACGCGAATTATCACTTTTCCAATAAAAAATGACACGCTGAATCGAATGAGACTATAATCAGCTCCATAGGACAGATAGTTTTCGAGATATAGGCGCTCAAAGTCAGCTATTCGCTTTTATTGTCAATAGGAGCAATCCTGTAAGCTACTACGTTTCCATTTTCCAAAATTTCCCAATTTCCACCACTGATTCGTTCATTTCGACATCGAATTAGTCAATGTGATTTTTTTCAGATTTTTAATAGGCCAAATAAAAATTTTCATTTTCCCACCTAAGACTTCAGTACGATATAGTCACCGAGCCATCTTCGGACGGCCGAAAGTGCCAGAAAACGGAAAAATCCACGCGAATTATCGCTTTTCCAATAGAAAATGACACGCTGAATCGAATGAGACTATAATCAGCTCCATAGGACAGATAGTTTTCGAGATATCGGCGCTCAAAGTCAGCTATTCGCTTTTATTGTCAATAGGAGCAATCCTGTAGGCTACTACCTATCCATTTTCCAAAATTTCCCAATTTACCACAGATTCGTTCATTTCGACATCGAATTAGTCAATGTGATTTTTTTCAGATTTTTAATAGGCCAAATAAAAATTTTCATTTTCCCACCTAAGACTTCAGTACGATATAGTCACCGAGCCATCTTCGGACGGCCGAAAGTGCCAGAAAACGGCAAAAATCCACGCGAATTATCGCTTTTCCAATAGAAAATGACACGCTGAATCGAATGAGACTATAATCAGCTCCATAGGACAGATAGTTTTCGAGATATAGGCGCTCAAAGTCAGCTATTCGCTTTTATGGTCAATAGGAGCAATCCTGTAGGCTACTACGTATCCATTTTCCAAAATTTCCCAATTTCCACCACAGATTCGTTCATTTCGACATCGAATTAGTCAATGTGATTTTTTTCAGATTTTTAATAGGCCAAATAAAAATTTTCATTTTCCCACCTAAGACTTCAGTACGATATAGTCACCGAGCCATCTTCGGACGGCCGAAAGTGCCAGAAAACGGCAAAAATCCACGCGAATTATCGCTTTTCCAATAGAAAATGACACGCTGAATCGAATGAGACTATAATCAGCTCCATAGGACAGATAGTTTTCGAGATATCGGCGCTCAAAGTCAGCTATTCGCTTTTATGGTCAATAGGAGCAATCCTCTGTGGGCTACTACGTCTCTATTTTCCAAAATTTCCCAATTTCCACCACAGATTCGTTCATTTCGACATCGAATTAGTCTATGTGAATTTTTTCAGATTTTTAATAGGCCAAATGAAAATTTTCATTTTCCCATCTAAGACTTCAGTACGATATAGTCACCGAGCCATCTTCGGACGGCCGAAAGTGCCAGAAATAGGCAAAAATCCACGCGAATTATCGCTTTTCCAATAGAAAATGACACGCTGAATCGAATGAGACTATAATTAGCTCCATAGAACACATAGTTTTCGAGATATCGGCGCTCAAAGTCAGCTATTCGCTTTTATTGTCAATAGGAGCAATCCTGTAGGCTACTACGTATCCATTTTCCAAAATTTCCCAATTTCCACCACAGATTCGTTCATTTCGACATCGAATTAGTCAATGTGATTTTTTTCAGATTTTTAATAGGCCAAATAAAAATTTTCATTTTCCCACCTAAGACTTCAGTACGATATAGTCACCGAGCCATCTTCGGACGGCCGAAAGTGCCAGAAAACGGCAAAAATCCACGCGAATTATCGCTTTTCCAATAGGAAATGACACGCTGGATCGAATGAGACTATAATCAGCTCCATAGAACACATAGTTTTCGAGATATCGGCGCTCAAAGTCAGCTATTCACTTTTATTGTCAATAGGAGAACTCCTGTAGGCTACTACGTCTCCATTTTCCAAAATTTCCCAATATTCACCACAGATTCGTTCATTTCGACATCGAATTAGTCTATGTGAATTTATTCAGATTTTTAATAGGCCAAATAAAAATTTTCATTTTCCCACCTAAGACTTCAGTACGATATAGTCACCGAGCCATCTTCGGACGGCCGAAAGTGCCAGAAAACGGCAAAAATCCACGCGAATTATCACTTTTCCAATAAAAAATGACACGCTGAATCGAATGAGACTATAATCAGCTCCATAGGACAGATAGTTTTCGAGATATAGGCGCTCAAAGTCAGCTATTCGCTTTTATTGTCAATAGGAGCAATCCTGTAGGCTACTACGTCTCCATTTTCCAAAATTTCCCAATTTCCACCACTGATTCGTTCATTTCGACATCGAATTAGTCAATGTGATTTTTTTCAGATTTTTAATAGGCCAAATAAAAATTTTCATTTTCCCACCTAAGACTTCAGTACGATATAGTCACCGAGCCATCTTCGGACGGCCGAAAGTGCCAGAAAACGGAAAAATCCACGCGAATTATCGCTTTTCCAATAGAAAATGACACGCTGAATCGAATGAGACTATAATCAGCTCCATAGGACAGATAGTTTTCGAGATATAGGCGCTCAAAGTCAGCTATTCGCTTTTATTGTCAATAGGAGCAATCCTGTAGGCTACTACGTCTCCATTTTCCAAAATTTCCCAATTTTCACCACAGATTCGTTCATTTCGACATCGAATTAGTCAATGTGATTTTTTTCAGATTTTTAATAGGCCAAATAAAAATTTTCATTTTCCCACCTAAGACTTCAGTACGATATAGTCACCGAGCCATCTTCGGACGGCCGAAAGTGCCAGAAAACGGAAAAATCCACGCGAATTATCGCTTTTCCAATAGAAAATGACACGCTGAATCGAATGAGACTATAATCAGCTCCATAGGACAGATAGTTTTCGAGATATCGGCGCTCAAAGTCAGCTATTCGCTTTTATTGTCAATAGGAGCAATCCTGTAGGCTACTACCTATCCATTTTCCAAAATTTCCCAATTTTCACCACAGATTCGTTCATTTCGACATCGAATTAGTCTATGTGAATTTTTTCAGATTTTTAATAGGCCAAATAAAAATTTTTATTTTCCCACCTAAGACTTCAGTACGATAGAATAGAATAGAATACTTTATTTTACCACATTACGTACACTGTACATTTGTAGCAGGTCAAGGAGTTAGAACTATAAAAAAATAGAACTGTATATAAAATGAAGTTAAAAGACAAACAATAAAAAGTTAAAAGACAAACAATATGAAAATATAGTCACCGAGCCATCTTCGGACGGCCGAAAGTGCCAGAAAACGGCAAAAATCCACGCGAATTATCACTTTTCCAATAGAAAATGACACGTTGAATCGAATGAGACTATAATCAGCTCCATAGAACACATAGTTTTCGAGATATCGGCGCTCAAAGTCAGCTATTCGCTTTTATTGTCAATAGGAGCACTCCTGTAGGCTACTACGTCTCCATTTTCCAAAATTTCCCAATTTCCACCACAGATTCGTTCATTTCGACATCGAATTAGTCTTTGTGAATTTTTTCAGATTTTTAATAGGCCAAATAAAAATTTTCATTTTCCCACCTAAGACTTCAGTACGATATAGTCACCGAGCCATCTTCGGACGGCCGAAAGTGCCAGAAAACGGCAAAAATCCACGCGAATTATCGCTTTTCCAATAGAAAATGACACGCTGAATCGAATGAGACTATAATCAGCTCCATAGGACAGATAGTTTTCGAGATATCGGCGCTCAAAGTCAGCTATTCGCTTTTATTGTCAATAGGAGCAATCCTGTAGGCTACTACGGCTCCATTTTCCAAAATTTCCCAATTTCCACCACAGATTCGTTTATTTCGACATCGAATTAGTCTATGTGAATTTTTTCAGATTTTTAATAGGCCAAATAAAAATTGTCATTTTCCCACCTAAGACTTCAGTACGATATAGTCACCGTGCCATCTTCGGACGGCCCAAAGTGCCAGGAAACGGCGAAAATCCATGCGAATTATCGCATTTCCAGTAGGAAATCACATGCTGAATCGAATGAGAACATAATCAGCTAAATAGGATAGATAGTTTTCGAGATATCGGCGCTCAAATTCTGAATCAACCACATAAATTGGATAGATTGATGAATGAATTAATGATTATTTTAAAGAATGAATCATTATTTCAATGGATACATTGATGAATACATTATTGGCTGGATGAAGTAATGAATGAACTGATGAATTCATCACTTAGATTAATGAATAAATGATTGGATAGAGTAATGAATGAATAAACTAACAATAGAAATGAACAGATTGACGAATAAATCTATGAATAAACTCTTGAAAAATTCAATGGATGAATTGATGGATTTTTCGATGAATAAATTGATGAATAATTTAATGAATAAATGGAAACTTTATTGAATGAATTGATGAATAAAATATTGCAATGATCAATGAATGAATAAAATATTGTAATGATGAATGAATGAATAAATTGATTGAATAATTCAATGAATACATTGATGAATAACATATTGGAAAGATAGATGACTCAAAAAATAGTTTTCAAAAAACTTCTATTCACCCACCTGCAAATGTATCAACTCTCCCTCGCACACTTCCACATTATCCCCGGCGCTGAACGAGTGCAGCGCCGCCTTCTCCTCCTTCTCGGCCGGCAGCTCCAAATCGATGCCCTCGGGCTGCTCCTCAAACCTCTCGAGTTCCGCCAAAGTCGGCTTCACGCCGTCCACAATTACTGCGCTGAGGGTAAAGTTCTTGTAGAGGAAGCCCTTGCGTGAGTACCGGTTGCCCTCGAAGATGAGGAAGTCTCCGTCGGAGGTGACTTCGCCTCCGATAGCGCGGATGGCCTCCGGGTCAAAGGGCTTGCTGGGCGGGCGGCGTTTCTTTTTGCGTTTTTCCGCTTCCGATTCCTAGCGAGAAAGTTTTCCGTTAATTTCACGTTCTACCTGGAAAAGCTACAGCTGCTTGGCAATCACTGTTATTCCAGGTAGACTTAAGGGTTTGATTTGTATAGATCCGGCTCGAAGGACCAATATGTTTGATAGATAGTGGACTGTAACTGAATGATTATATTATGATAATGGAACAAAGGTAGATATAAGAATTGAGATTAGTATTGCAATTCTATTATATTTATTGATTTTATTGATTTTTTCCGCTTAATTTAAAAATCGAACAGTGGGTTTCACGCCGTCCACGATTACTACGCTGAGGGTAAAGTTCTTGTAGAGGAAGCCCTTGCGTGAGTACCGGTTGCCCTCGAAGATGAGGAAGTCTCCGTCGGAGGTGACTTCACCTCTGTTGGCGCGGATTGCCTCCGGGTAGAAGGGCTTGCTGGGCGGGCGGCGTTTTTTTTTGCGTTTTTTCGCTTCCGATTGCTAACGAGAAGGTGTTTGTTGAGTACACTTTACTTTCTTGTTTCTTAAAAGTCGAAATGAAGTTCACTGTAACTCCAGGTATTGCTCTGTATCCTTCGTGAAGAACTTGGCAGCCTTGATTTGAATATATCCGGCTCGAAGTACCAATATGTTCGATGCTTGATATAGTGGTATTTGTATGGTTATATGATATATAAAGAAATTAAGGTTGATATTAGAATCTCAATTTGTATTGCAATCGTTCTTTATTTATTGATTTTATTGATTTTTTCCCGCCAATTTAAGAATCGAACAGTGGGTTTTAAGCCGTCCACGATGATGGCGCTTAGGGTGAAGTTCTTGTAGAGGAAGCTCTTGCGCAAGTACCGGTTTCCCCCGAAAATGAGGTCTCCGCTGGATGGGCGGCGTTTCTTTTTGCGTTTTTCCGCTTCCGATTTCTAACGAGGTTTTAGTTTAGTACACTTCCTTTCTATGATTCTTTCTTAAGAGTCAATATGGAGTTCACTGTTACTCCAGGCACTGCTCTGTATCCCTCGTGAAGAACTGGTAGCCATGATTTGAATAGATCCGGCTCGAAGGACCAATATGTTCGATGCTTGATAGATAGGGCACTGTATTTGTATGGTTATATATAAGATATGGTGATGAAATGAAGGTTGATATTGGAATCGCAATTCATATTGCAATCATTCTTTATTTATCGTTTTTTTCTGCTAAATTTAAAAATTGAACAGTGGGTCTCACGCCGTCCACGATGACTGTGCCGAGGTTGAAGTTCTTGTAGAGGAAGCCTTTGCGCCAGTAACAGTTGCCCTCAAAGATATCTGGGCCATTTCAATTTTCTTCTGAGATAATATCTGATATATTAAATCTGGAATTTTGAATTTGCAACAATTCACATTAATATGGAATGGAAACAGGGACATCAGAGGCCTATCCATTTTTATCATCAGAAGAAAATGTTAAAATCTTGAAATATTTATATCCTTTCAAGTCTAGAAGATGTATGGACTGAGGCACATTAGAAAAAGATTGAATTTGACAATCCAATTTTCCCTCACTGCCACCTACTGATTGTAATCCTATAAGCCAAGTATTGTGATTCACACGCACAAGAGTCTTACCGATTGGGCTGTTCTCAGGGCTCCTCTGAACCTAGTATAATCAATTCTTGGTAGGATTTTGAGATGCACTTGGTTCTGAGCCATATCAAAATAATCAACCTGGGCAATGTCATCTTTATAGAGGCCCCTCTTCAACCTTACCCACTGCTTGGACTTCAAACCTAAGAAATACATATTTTTTTCATTTCTAAGTGAAATTTTTTAAGTAAATCAAAAGGTGAACTGATACTTTAAATCTACCACAAGAATCAATTTGAAAATCTTCAAGGAAATAAACAAATCAGTTTACACATTTGATTTTCTGAAGAGGAAAATAATTTTTTTATGGATGCTGAAACTCACCAGTTTGCTCTTTGACTACCCTTAACACATCAGTCATTTCCTTGATAGGCACCATTTGCTGTTTCCAAATGCCTGATCTCAAATTACCAATATTTGCAATGGCAGCTTTAACATGAGGCTGTTTGTAAGCCTCAATATAGATATATCCTTTCACACCCTCAGGAGCCACCACAGATTTAATCTGCAGAGGTTCAGTGTTCTGATACGCCAAAAACTTTCTCATCAAGAGGAGACAGGTAGATTTTTCTTCACCTATTCTACATTTCACCATCCATAAGTTTGGATCTCTGGAAAAATCATATTTTATCATGAATGCTTCCATGAAAACAACCTTGTACAAAATCCACTCACTTAACTCCAGGTAATAGTGTCTGTTGAGTAATCTCATCAGACATTTCTTCTCCTCCATCTCCAAAATGCTTAATAGCTGCACCATCATCAGCATATTTTCTCTTCAGATATTCCTCAATCTCAGATGCCCTCTGTGCACTTGAAAAAAAAATCAGATATACTTCAATAATCATTCAATAGAACAACAAAATCACTTACTCCCAAAGATTAGTTCCCCTTCTACGTCCTTCAATTTCCCTAGCTGTTGGACCAAATTCATCCACCTCATTGGGAACAATCCCAATTTCTTGGGCCCCCTCTTCCCACTCATCCTCATCCTCAACTTCATCATCTACTTCAGCTTCATCAATAATGAACCCCCCATAACGGTCCTTATTTTTCTTCCTCTTCTTTGCTCTACCCCCCTCATCACTGTCATCTTCCTCACTATCATATTCATCCAGGCTCTCTCCCTCAGGCTCCTCCTCTTCAGCAACTTCTTCAGGTCCAGAAGCTTCACGAGCCTCAGACCCCCTAAAGAACAATTCATTGAACCCTCTTTTTTCACAGAATCAAATATAAATATCTTACCCTGATCTAACAGATCTACTTCTGGATCGCGACTTAGACCTTGATCTGGACCTAGATCTAGAAGGGGAACGAGATCTAGACACGCGGGAGCCCCTACTGGGCGATCTAGATACGTGTGAGCCCCTGCTTGGAGACCTAGATAAACGGGAGCCCTTACTGGGCGATCTGGATAGCCGGGAACCCCTGCTAGGGGATCTGGATCTGCTCTTCGAAGGGGATCTGGACCGAGACCTAGACAGCGACCGAGATCTGCTTCGGACGCTACCTCTGGAGCTTCGAGACCGCACGGAACCAGCTTCGGAAGCGTTTTCATTCTCAGAAAAATTGCTGGCTTCCGAATCAGACATTGTAGACTGTTTGCATACAGCTGACGAGCTATTACTGCGAGTACGGCATCGACATTACTTCAGATGAAATTGATGAATAATTATAATTATCACAAAATTTAAAGAAAATACTCTGCAAGTGGTGAGTGGCGACTCGTCAACAGTCAACACAAAACGACAAAACACAAAACACAAAACGACAAAACACACCCACAGAATTATAGAGTATAGATATTTCAGAAATTTATGAAATGACAAATGACAATGACAAACGACAATGACAAACGACAATGACAAACGACAATGACAAACGACAATGACAAACGACAATAACAAACGACAATGACAAAGAAAAACGACAGTGACAAACGACATAAATTTTGGCCTTGTTATTTCTGCCATTGTTTAACTCATGTTGAAAACGATGATAACACACACACAATATTTTGTTCGGTGTTTCGTCTTGTCACAGTTTCAAATTCGTGTTCTGTGATTTTATTTTTAATTTTTCACTTTGTAATGGGGTCAAAAATCCAAAAACTTTAATACCGTACAAAAATACACTTTCCTGAACGAAATGCAACTATTCAAACTTTCATTTAAATGTCCTATGTCTATGACTTCACAGTTTCACGAATTTCACAACTTTTGCGAGATGTTGTTTGACTAACCTAAAAATTGTTGAACAAAATGCCCCTTGCAAATAGTTCTAATTTGAACGCCTTTCTTGGTGCTGCAGTCTTGGGTGTCATTAGTGCAGCTGGTATGTACCTAGTGGAACACTACAGACAAGAGAAGACCAGGCATCAGATGGCCAAAGATCTAGCTCGTTTGGATCAAGAGCTAGGACAAGTACGGAGAGAGTTAGATCAACTATTAACTAAGAAAAGAACTAAGTATGTACCCCAATTGGCTGCATGGAGACAGGTGTAATCCAAGCTGTTTCAGGCCACACAAAGCTAGAGGAAGTAAGACTGTTAGTAAGGCAAATTCAATGATATCTGGCAGTGAAGACTACATGAGTGCTAGTAATTTAGACAGTTCTGATCTAGAATTCTATGACCTTAGTGATGATGAACCTACTGTCACCAGCTCCACTGATTTAGAAAAAGTACAAACCCCATCAGAATAATTCAGTCATCTCCACTCACATAATATATTTCAGGCTCTCAAACTCATAGATCAGAAATTGAATACAGGATCATTGGAACAGCTGGAAGATGCACTAGGAAACCTAAGAGACTTATGTATGGAATACCCTGAACACACTGAACTATTGTGGAGAATTGGCAAGGCCCATCACAAAATAGCTGATTGTTGTGATGACCAAAATTTCATAAGAGAGCAGATATCTAAAGGTTAGAGTACTAATACCAATTATTTTTAATGTTTTGAATACTGGAATTTTCTATTTTTATAGGTATTGATGCTTGTGAACTGGCTCTAAAGTTGAAGACTGATTGTCCTGATATCCACAAGTGGTATGCAATTCTGGTAGGCTCAAGAAGTGAATATGTGTCACTGCAAGACAAAATAAGTGATGGCCACTTGTTCAAAAAGCATGTTGATGCAGCCCTAGCTCTGAATCCTTCAGACCCTTCCTTGCACCATATGCTAGGAAGATTTGATTATGAAATAGCTGGATTGAAATGGTGAATAGACTTTTTCAACTCTGAGAATGTATCTATGAACTGTTTTCTTTTAAGGTATGAGAGAAAAGTTGCAGCAGCTCTTTTTGGTGAGCCCCCTAATGCAACCTACACAGAAGCACTAGAGCACTTTATGGAAGCAGAGGAATTAGCAAATTTTGAATGGAAAGAGAACAAGATGATGATAGCCAAATGCAAGGTTGCTATTGGGGAGTACAAAGAAGCAGTAGAATGGCTTGAAAGGGCCAATGGTTGCAAACTGGGAGACAATTCAGTAAGTAATTCATTGTGATATGGGGTGATTCTAATACAGATTGACTTTGGAAATGCTAGATCATGGTAAATTACTACTAATTTGATGCAAAAAATGTTCCTAGAATCCTGAAATTTTTCAGCATCCTTATCATTTTTATTTTAATTATCCAAATTTATGTGTATAGATTCAGAATCACCCAGTACAGTGCATTCCATTTTGGATGAGACAGCCAAGGTATCTTGGTTGTTGTTGAAGATAGAACCTCCTGGTTTTCATGGTCTTTGTGCCACTTTTTTGTGAAGCTCAAGATGACCTAATAAGATTTTGCATAACATGACATACAGGGCAATTTTGAAAATTCATACTTTTTGGACCCCCTCTACATCTATGAGTTTTCTCTGTGAAAATGCCCATAGAGAATTTTATGCAGAATCCAGTGGCGCACTTCTTTTTTCGGGGTATGGTTTTTCATGAAAATATTGGATTTTAAATGTGGGCTATGGATTTTAGGGAAAATGGACATCAATTTGAACAATTCAATGAATAAGTTACTGAATAATTTCGAAATTCAATTGTATTAGTGAATATTCAATCAGGTGCTTATACTAGATTATGAACTTTTACTATTTTTTGTTGCTATTAGGTACCTACCTACATTTTGTGTTTTGTTCGGCATTTAGTGTTGATATTGTTTTTGTCCTCTTCATGGCAAATCAAAAAAAAAAATATCACTTCAATTGGAACTGTGAGCTGATGAAATACAAGGTGTTCCATTTAAAAAAATCAAAGCCGTGCCCCGAAAAAAAAATTGAGTGCGCCACTGAACTCCGCATCAAATTCTCTATGGGATAAGATTTCAATTTGAAATTTTTGCTAAGAAACTTCGTAGATATGGAGGGAGTCCAAGAAGTATAAAATTTCAAAATGTTTCTCTATCCTATAAAACCCTAAGGATCTATCTTCAATAACAACTGAGATACCTGACTGTCTCACCCAAAATGGGATAGACTGTACATTATATTGAGGAAACATTCCAGATGTTTTTTTCTTTCAGGATGATAAGATAGATACAGAGGTGAACATATTATTAGATAAATACAAGAGTTACAAATAGTTAGGTACTGGATTATTAATATTTCAAATAATTGGTGTTTTGTTTCTGTTGTAATTGTTCAATTTTTGTAGATATTTTAGCTGACAGGTGATGTTTTTTTTATTCATTCCATTTTAATTCTGACAATATATTATACAAGTTTACAAGTCTAAAAAATTTCAATCTTTCCCCAACTTTTCATTAATTTCTTTCATCATTCAAGCATAACTATCCTCATTTTTTAGAATAGATAAATTTATAATATCTACTACTCAAAAATCCCAAGAGATGTGACCAAAATGTATGCCAAAAAAATGTGTATTGACATTTCAGCTGACAGGTGATGTTTTTATTATTCATTCCATTTCAATTCTGACACAATATATTATAGGAGCATAACTACCCTCATTTTTTAGGGTAGATAAATTTATAATATGTACTACTCAAAAATTCCAAGAGATGTGATCAAAATATATGCCCACAAAAACAATCAGGAAACTATGGCATTTTATTTTGAAAACTGGTCATTCATTCTAGTAGGGGGATTTTTCATTTATTCTCTATTGAACTTGTTTCTATCATTCATGTAGGGTTAAGGTATGGAAAAGGTCTATATTTATCCAAATGGGTTTTAGAAATGAGAGTATCCATTTTTAAACAATATCTATTTTCAAATCTGTTCAGAACATACACAATGTTTTTGTTTAACTAAAAAGAAAGAAAACCATTAACATTTGAAGATACACTTAATGGAACAACCTCAAGTTGATTGAAATAATCCTATTCCCTAAATTATCTGTTCATAACATCCACATTTGTTATCACCACTCTTAGTTACAGAATAAATAAGTAAAAAAAACATATCCCACTTGAAACTGGTATAATAAAAGGACTAGTATATTTGGTAAAATCATTATATTTAAACTAAATAAATAAGCTTGTATGGAATAGAACAAATCCTAAGAAATATAGTATAGTTATCCCCAAGAACTTCAGGCTATTGAAATTAGTGAATTCTTTTCAATTGAATTTAATTTGCATTCCAAGAATAGAGTTCAGAAACTAATAGTTTGAACTGAATGTAATCTTCTGAAGTAATTGGTGATCCATCAAAACTCATAAGTAAGGAAAACATTTCTTGGTCAGTTACTAATGGTGATTTCTAAAAATTCCACAATGGCCCACAATGAATTGATTCCAGTTACTGCTTTCCCCATTATGTAATAACTGGCATTATTGTGATCTCTGATGCTACTATATTTGCCAAGGATAAATGCATTCAATAGCAAAACTATTAAATTAAGTAACTATCAAAAACCTATTTACATTTATTTAAGTTCAGAAAAACTGGAATGGAGCAACTTTCTCATTTTTTAATTAAAAAACAAGACTAACAATAAAATACAGTTTTATAAACAAAGCACTTTCAACATGTCATTACAAATATAAGAATTATGAACAAGTAATGCTCTCCTTTTTCATATTGGGGGACAAATGACACTTTTTTCTAATATATGTAGTGCCGTGACCAAAAATTACCAATGTTGACTGCACAGATTATCATAACATTTTATTCAACAATTAATTATTTGGAATTATCAGTAACTTTTGTGCACACACAAAAACAACATAAAGATTGCTCCGCATTGTGCGTACAGGGTGTAAAAAGGAAGCTTAGACGACTGGAAGCACTACTAGACTAAGTAATATGTATAAACGAAACAACGGTAATGACCGAAATCTTTTTACATAGTACACTATCATGGCAATTTGGCCAAAAGAATAAACATGTACTCACTGTTTATGGAATGGAGAACAAGAATTTCATCTGCAAAAGATAAACTTTGGATGATACTTTCACATGCTTTCACACACAGTCACAAAATCACTTTTTATCGTTAAACAGCCCGCCATTTTGCATTTCATCAGATAATTCTACTTCTTCTATTTTCTTCTTTTAACAATTCGTCAATGTTCCTAGCCAGTTGTAAAATTATTCGAGTAGGTCTTTTGTTTATTATAGCACAGGCTTGTATGGGTTAGTGTGTATTATAATAAATATATTGTGTATTCTATGGAAGTAGGCGTTGAAAACAAATTTCATATGATAATTTGATACAAGATGGCCACAAAGTTTGCGAATTAACCGTTTTCATGTGAGATGTGTGTTATCATCGGCGAAATAAAGTGAGAAATATCCCAAGCATCAATGGCTTTGAAGGACTGCAGATTAGTAAACTGGTTCTACATCTCTAAAACTGTAAGTACTATACTCAAAAATGTTCTAGTCTATTTTGGAAAACTGCTACGCGAAACGCATTCGTTAAAGAGCCCCTTTGGAAGATTATTTACCACTAAAGTAACACAGCCTTGCAAGTTACAAAATTTGAACATTCAAGGTTTCTAGTTAGATCTTCATTTTCAGCCACAGCACTTTCGGACTATTATATATATTTTTAGTGAAAAGGATAGCAAAACTCAAGTGATCTAGCTAACTTTCGGATTATACAAATGGCAGCATTCTTACTAGATGGATGAGGATGCGTAGCGCGTTGCTCCACAGCTGCCTTAGGGGGGCATATCGCAAAGTCAAAAATCGCCACATACACAACACTGATATAACCTTCAGGGCCGTATAGGCCCAGTAGAGCCTTGAGATGTTTCGTCGTGATTTTGGAAGCGTGGCCGCGTCCTCTTTGAATATGTATCTGAAAATGATAATAAGTCGACCTATGAACAAAAATTCCGAGATTTATAGAATAGAAAATAGCACGGTAAAACTGCATTTAGCATGCGATGGGTTTTTTTTCGAAAATTTTTTTTGGTACTTACGTATTTTTGTCTGAAAAACACGAATTTGATAATGAAAATGTGAACAAACCATTATTTATCAAGATATTTCACTATAAAGTTTCAAATTTCACCTTCTTTTCCGCCTGTCTTCTGGATTGAATTTTAAACAATTCACCCTTCTTTTTTCATCATTGGACAATTTATATATATCACAATGTAAGACACATTTTTTTCTATTATTGAGTCAACTAGAAATATGATTTTCTTGTGATTTATCCATATTTATTGAAAAGAAGGAAGAATATCATTTGAAATAATGGCGTGTGTAATGTCATTCCAAAGCAATCTATTGACATTTGACATCTCGTATTTGGATTGCCTATGGATAAAATGGCCGTCATCTGGTATGCTTGCTCATGTTGCTCACTAAATAGGAAAAACACCATAAAAATCATATTTCCTGTTGAATTTTCTGTATAAAAATGTGTCATTGAAGTACATCATAGTCATGATGAAAATATATCCACCTTTATCATAGTATATAAAGTGTCCAATGACAAAATAAGAAGAGCAAGTACCTGAAAATGCATCCAACGCAAGGGCAAAAAGGAGTCGAAATTTCGAACTTTTTTTTGAAATATCTCGATAAATAGTGGTTTGTTCACATTTTCATTATCAAATTCGTGTTTTTCAGACAAAAATACGTAAGTACAAAAAAAAATTTTCGAAAAAAAAACCCATCGCATGCTAAATGCAGTTTTACCAATAGCACTTTATTCAAGAAGACCAGAGTGAAAGTACACAATACAGGGTATTTCCGAAATTGGGGCGATAAATCGCAAGAAAATATAATATGTTATCTAATGCAGAAAAAGCTATAGGAATAGTAAAAAATAATCTTGATTTTGACTAGTTAACTCTAGATTTGAATAAAACAAAATTCATAACTTTTTCCTGTTATGATGGTTCATAACCAAAATATATAACAGAATTGACAATTCATGATCAGAGCTGCTCTGATGATATATCCAAAATACCAGTAATTGAAATATCTAAAGTGAATACAATCAAATATCTTGATCAAAATTTGAAGTGGAATTATATATCATGTCTCAGAACTAACAAAGAAACTCAGAAGTACCCTTCCAAAATTCAGACTTGCGAAATATTGTCAGTAGACATTTAATAATCACGTTTTAGCAGCGTCATCAATGTGAAACAAGTTGTATTGTATGGTCTCATGATCATGAATTTCAGAATTCCGTATCAAAATAAAATTCGACTTGAATTTTTTATTTATGACTATTTTGGGAGGCAAGTACTTTTCGTCCGCAGACACGAACTTTTCGTCCGCAAACACTTTTCGTCCGCTGCAGAGTTGCCAGTTTTACTGAAATCTCAGTAGATCTCTTGATTTATGCATATTGATCTATAAGTACCTATATTATAAAAAGTCAACATACCTTCTGATACCGATTACATAATTCTGGATGTAATTTTCCCAGTCTATTTTGGCAACGTCGAAACAGAATTCCTTCTTGTCTTTTTCCGTCAAAGTGCCCACTAGATTCCTAACATTTTCGTCGTCGAACTTCCATTCTTGTGTTGTGAAATACTCCAAACATCCAGCGGCTTTCGTCAATTTATCCTGAATCCTCAGCATCCTTGAAAAAAATCCCTCATTATAGACGTGCTCACATGCAGCGGCGTCACCAATCAAATTGAAAATTGATGATCAGTAAATGCATGCAAATTGATTTTTGTTGAAATTTGAAAAAAATTATACCGCGGAAAGAATTTGCATACGCTGCACTGGTGTAGGAAGTACCGAAATCATTAACTGAACATGTGATAAAGAGGGGGCTATTGTAGAACAATTATCGTCGTAGTGCATTTTCTGGACTGAATACTTACGCAGATAAGAGAGAATACAACACACAACTGAAGAATCAGATAATAAGAGGAATATTTTTGAATATTCGCGTCTTATTTGCAAGATGATACAAGGATTTGATGATGAAGGTGAAGTTGAGTTGACAATGTAGTTCGTCTTCTTCTTCTTTTCTTGTATTACTGGGAACTCTAAGCATTACGCCGTTGCCAGTACCACAAAATAATTTGAATTCAATGAAAATCCCGATCATTATTAGGAATACTAGGATATTTTTATTGATACTGAAGCATCTGGCAAGTATAAAAGTATTCAATAAGTGATTATATATGGACCAGGTCTAATTATTGTCTTCTGAGAATGTGAATACTGTCATTGGTCATATTGAATCTCATGAGGTAATTACTAGTAAAAAATCTGGCAGTGTCGAAATATATAGTATACTACTTTTTATGCGAAAGCCAGAATTCAGATTGACGTCATCGAAGCTGGCTTTTTCGAGAGTGCCGAATTTCGTAATTTCAAATAAGAATGATCAATATGAAATAGGATTGTGGCGTAAATTTGACTTGTGTGTACAACCCCATTGTCTAAGACATGTTGAAGAAAACCCATAAAAAAACGTTTCAAAAAATATGTCATCACCGGCCAGTCTATTATACAATTTGATTTTCTTCCACCTCACCCCATCTTATCACAAATATATTGAAATAATTCTAAAATTGATTCTTTCCGAAATATTGGTTGAAGAAACTAAATCTCCCTGTACTTACATTGGCTTTCCACCGGATATCCAAACGATGGCATCGATCATGTAGGCAGGCAGCCAATGTAACAAATACCTATTTACAGTATTTACTAGTCTAGATGACGTCACCGTCCCATCTGGATACCATGACACTTCTGAAAATGGGTGTTTCCGTGTGTATTTGAAACATAAGGCGATGAAATCCTTCCATTTGATGGGTTTTGTCACACCTGGAACGAAATAACAAAAAAATGGTGCCTGATTTTTGAACGGCTATACAGCTTTAATTGAATTATTACCTACATATATACATACCTGTACAACAATTATAAATGGGCAAGTCCTTTGATTTTGTTGTTCCTATCCTCCATGCGGATACAATCATCAAATTGATAACCATGTCGACTGGTACTAGATCTGCCGTTTTGTTGGGATCGCAGAGCATAGTTCTGAACAAACCTTTACCTACAGCTGCGATTATACCTAGAAAAAAAATTATCAGCAAATTTTGTTGTATTTATTTTTTGAATGAAAGTCACTTTCAATAATGAGTTGTAAGTTGTAAAACACTCAGTATATTGAACAACAATACTCTGTGTCTCATACTTGGGCAATAAATATTGGAGATCATCGATATCAGAAAACAAGTGTGAATTGAAAATGTTTGTCCTGTATTTCAATTAGAGGCAAATTTTCGAAAACGTCTCGAGTTAATAGTCTAATATGAATAATGTTTAACGAGAAGGCCGTTTCTGAATATACTGAATCGAATGGGCCATAGGTTTAGTCGCCATTTTTTTTTTACTGAAATGAGATTTTGTCCTATTTTCTTATCATCCTGTATATTCCAAAAGTGCTATTCTCGTCTTTCATTGTCGTCCACAAAACATGAGAATAGTTCTTTCTAATAGTCAGCTCTAGTGGAGTTCTAGAGAAAAAAATCAAGAAATGCAAGACTTTCGAAAAATAATCGAATTTTTGTTCCAATGGCCAATTAAGGAGAAATCACGAAAACGTCCCGAGATGAGGTCCCAGTGTATCATAATATGACTGACTTTTGATCAGAAAAAAATTTCTCGAGTTCTGGCAGCATTGGAAATGTAGACCCTAGTGTAATGGTTCCACTTTACACCCTGTGTAAGTTTTGTTCTGCGGACTTTTTCAGAGTGTTCTAGCTCTCTTCGAAACCGATGAAACATCACATCTGATATCGAAAACCGCATGAAGATCGGTCATTTTTTTCAAAAAATACAGGTCTTCGAAATAGAGTCAAATTATGAGTGGTTCATTCAGTGTGTTGAGAACTGTAGTTCGAAACACGTCCATAAACTATCAAATGCTTTTATACACTTCAGAAGACTCACGTCAGGTGACCTCCATGGTCTTCATAGCCTTTTATAAGACTTCCAAAGAGGTCAAGTGACTTCCACTTCTAACCACTTTCAAAGACTTCCATACATATCTGATCACTCGCAGAGTCTTCCAAACACATACAATGACTTCAGAAAACTCACAAAAGAAAGTCATGTGTCCTCTAAAGCCTTCATAGCCTTCCATGCACTTCCAAATTGCTGACTACAAATGGCTTCAAGAACATCCAATGAATCTATAAGACTTTCAAGGAAGACAAGTCGTGACTGAGGGTTTGTAATTAAATTACTCCTAATGTTGTTTCAAATACTTCCAAACACGTTCAAAAACTTTCAAACAATAATGATCACTCCTAGAGTCTTTCAAACACTCCCAAAGACTTCTGAAAACTTCCAAAACGAAGGCAGTAATAAGTGACCTCCGATACCTCCATAGCTTCCCATACACTTCCAATGACTTCAGAAAATTTCCAAAAGGAAGTCAATAAGTGACCTCTGATACCTCCATAGCTTCCCATACACTTACAAAGACTTCAGAAGACTATCAGAAGGAAATCAATAAGTGATCTCCCATAGCTCTATAGCTTCCTATACACTTCCGAAGACTCCAGAAAACTTCCAAAAGGAAATCAATAAGTGACCTCCGATCCCTCCATAACTTTCCATACGCTTCCAATTACTCCCAGAGCCTTCCAAAGGAACGCAGCTACCGAACAAACTGTCTCTACTGGATTGACTTACCCGTAGGTCCGTTCCAGTTGTCCAACCAACCCTCCAGCGGCCCGTATATCGTGCTCAGCACTATGCTCGGCCTCACGATCACCAGCGGCAGCTCCTCCCTGTTCTCCTTCAGCCAGCACTCGGCCAACGCCTTGGTGAAGGTGTACGTGTTGGGTCTGTCGCCCACCAGCCTCGGGGTCAGCGAGTCCACCAGGTCCTCGTCCAACGCTTCGACCAGCTGCGTGACCTGATCCGGTCCTATCGACGGCGCGTAGACTGTTTCCTTTACTTCGTACCTGTCGCAGTTGCAGTATGCCGTCGAGACGTGTACCTGTAATAGAGAGAGCATTCGGTTTTTTAGGGATAAAGTCATTGTGTGGGTGTTATTATTGGGCGTTCGAGAGTCATTTGGACGTGTTTGGACGACTTCGGAAGTCATAGGAAGGTCTTTGGTGTACTAGTCTTCGTGCTTGTCATCAGAGAGCCATCAGACCTCATCAAACTGCCCTGGAAGTCATTGGATTTTCAGGCCATAGCCACTTTGTGGGTTTAATTGAATGTTCTAAAGTCATTTGGACGTGTTTGGAAGACTTCGGAAGTCATTGGAAGGTCTTTGGTGCTTGTCATCAGAGAGCCATTATAAGTCATCAAACTTTTCTGAAGTCATTGGATTGTCAGTCCATAGCCACTTTGTGGGTTTCATTGAATGTTCTAAAGTCATTTGGACGTCTTTGGAAGACTTCGGAAGTCATTGAAAGGTCTTTGGTGTACTAGTCTTCGTGCTTGTCATCAGAGAGCCATCAGACCTCATCAAACTTTCCTGAAGTCATTGGATTTTCAGTCCATAGCCACTTTGTGGGTTTAATTGAATGTTCTAAAGTCATTTGGACGTGTTTGGACGACTTCGGAAGTCATAGGAAGGTCTTTGGTGTACTAGTCTTCGTGCTTGTCATCAGAGAGCCATCAGAAATCATCAAACTTTCCTGAAGTCATTGGATTTTCAGTTCATAGCCACTTTGTGGGTTTCATTGAATGGTCTAAAGTCATTTGGACGTGTTTGGAAGACTTCGGATGTCATAGGAAGGTCTTTGGTGTACTAGTCTTCGTGCTTGTAATCAGAGAGCCATCAGACCTCATCAAACTGTCCTGAAGTCATTGGATTTTCAGTCCATAGCCACTTTGTGGATTTAATTGAATGTTCTAAAGTCATTTGGACGTGTTTGGACGACTTCGGAAGTCATAGGAAGGTCTTTGGTGTACTAGTCTTCGTGCTTGTCATCAGAGAGCCATCAGACCTCATCAAACTTTCCTCAAGTCATTGGATTTTCAGTCCATAGACACTTTGTGGGTTTCATTGAATGTTCTATAGTCATTTGGACGTGTTTGGACGACTTCGGAAGTCATAGGAAGGTCTTTGGTGTACTAGTCTTCGTGCTTGTCATCTGAGAGCCATCAGAAGTCATCAAACTTTCCTGAAGTCATTGGATTTTCAGTCCATAGCCACTTTGTGGGTTTAATTGAATGTTCTAAAGTCATTTGGACGTGTTTGGAAGACTTCGGAAGTCATAGGAAGGTCTTTGGTGTACTAGTCTTCGTGCTTGTCATCAGAGAGTCATCAGAAGTCATCAAACTTTCCTGAAGTCATTGGATTCTCAGTCTTTAGTCATTTTGTGGGTTTCACTGAATGTCCTAAAGTCATTTGGACGTAGTCCACGAATTCTTTGAAAATTATGAGATTTTTTTTTCAGAAGTAAATTGAACGTGTTTGGGAATCATTTTGAGTTTTTGGGATACTCTCCAAAGTAATTGAACGTCTGAAGGTGACTGGAAGTGCTTGAACGTCTTGAGGCTCTCAAATCATTAGCATCGGTTTTTTGAAGTCTAAAACTCATCGGAAGTCATTTAAAATCTTAAGGGGTCTTTGGAATCATTTGATGGACGCCTTTAGAAGAATCAGGAAATCATTGAAACATTGGTTTCTGAAGCAACTATGAATATTTCATCTTTTATTTTTTAATGATTCGTTATCAATAGTAGGCAGTAGAGGCAGAATTCTTGCGAAAGGTCAAATTCAAATCGTCTTAATTAATTATTTTTCGGATGAAGGTGGTCATATAAATGGAACAAGTTTGAACCGGCTTGTGATGCTAATTTCATTTATAGAAATTTTACCCAGTCAACTTGTTAACTGTAAACTAACGGCATTTCTGCGTGTTTTGGTTAATTTAATATTTCCCTATTAACTTTAATTATTGATACACCACCTAATTTGCTCTATCTCATGGGATTGGTTTATCATTTGAACTTGAAATTCTATGGCAGACGACAAACTTTTAGAATTAGAAGTAAAAAATAGTGTAAAGATAAACTTACATTTTCAGACGATGATAGATAACACTTGAGCTATCTACAGAAATAGATAATAATCATAGGACACATTTTTATTTGTCTTCTCTTGAAGAAATATTTGAACTAGATAAAACATAGGTATAGATTTCTCATAATCGTTAATCATTATTTCCTCTCAGAATCGAGTGAGGTAATACATTTTGACGAAATCTTGTTCAATCACCGACATTTCCGTAAAATTATATGAGAGAGCGAGCAGTTATATCACTACTGACGATAATGCAATTTTTTGGTCATTCACACTGTATAGTCATTCTCCAATCGAATTCGCCTTCTATGATGCATCAGCATTTTTGAAAATAATATTCATCATTAATTGTGTCTCTACTCTCTAAAGTTTTTCTTTAAATCATATTTTATCATGGGAATTTGTCATGTGAATTATTGGTATGAAAAGGAAATGTCTTAGAACTTTTTTGTTTTGTAGAATCATCGTATCTGAAATTGAACCAGTAATTTTTCACTAATGGTAATATCAAAAGATTTTATTTCGTGAATTTCGTCGATGATTTGTGACCATATACAGGGTGAGTCATGAGGAACTGTACATGCTCCTACTACGAATGGAGGCACCTGAGGGGAATACCAAATGTATATCAGAAAGTGGCTCCGCCTCTTCTAAAATAATCTATAGGATGATTTATGGGATATGGCCAAAACTTGTTTCAATCATAACTTTTCAGCAGTTCTTCCGATTCCTTTAATTTTTTTCATGGATAAATCTAAACATTCAAAAACACTAACAGTTGTCATTTCTGTGTCCGAACTCTTATCTAAGAATACGATCCAGTGACTCTAGTTACGGGGAAAATATAATTTGCTGACCAAAATTAAAGTATGATGACCGATCATTTGTGATTCGAAGTTTCTTTTCAAATTGCATATTTGAATATCTTATATAGATATACCTACCTATAGGAATTATTTCGATTCACCCTTTCAGAGGGGTAGGTTATTCTTGCAGTTTTTCAATAATCCTTGCTGACTGAGCATTACTGTTTCGTATTTTTCCATCAAATCACATATTTGAATATCTCATATGGATATATATACAGGGTCGCTGATATGTATGGAAACAGGTGAATATCTCGGCAATCTGTTGTTAGATTTTTTTTGAATTTATGTTCAGTGTGATTACAAAACGTGGCGGATTTGAAAATGTTATAGCCTCTGTTGCCACTTTTTCAGTTATTCCGGATTTTTAGTAACTTCCTTATTTTGAATGAAACACCCTGTACTTTATTGGATTTCCAGATTCTCCTTTAAGAGCTGATTCCATCGATCTATCACACTTGGGGTCGAGCGGGAATGATTACATAGGTATAGGGTGTTCAAAATCTAGGTTTTTCAACTTCAAGATTTTTTTGTGTAGAAACTATCCATTATCGATCAAAACCGCTTCAATGTTCCTATCTTCACTCTTGATTTACTATCTACTGACTATTTAATTGGAACAGATACAGAGGGTGATCAGAATTCTGAATCTTGAACCACCCTGTATTTGTTTCAATTAAATGTCAGTAGATAGTAAATCAGAAGTAAAGATGGGAACATTGGAGCGGTTTTGATCGATAATGAATAGTTTCGACACAAAAAAATACTAAAGTTGAAAAATCTAAATTTTAAACACCCTATACCTATGTATTCATTCCTGCTAGACCCCAAGTGTGATAGATCGATGGAATAAGCTCTTCATGGAGAATCTGAAAATCCAATAAGTTACAGGGTGTTCTATTCAAAATAAGGAAGTCAATAAAAAATTCGGTATAACTGAAAAAGTGGCAACATTGGCTATAAAATTTTCAAATTTGCCACGTTTTGAAATCACACAGTACATAAATTCAAAAAAATCCAACAACAGGTTACCGAGATATTCACCTGTTTCCATACATATCAGCGACCCTGTATATGCCACCAGTTGAATTATTCCGATCCACCACTTCAGAGGGGTAGTTTATTCTTGCAGTTTTTCAAAAATCCTTGCTGACCGAGCATTTCTGGTTCGTATTCTTTCATCAAATTACATATTTGGATATCTCATATACAGTGTGACCCACTTCTAATGGAAACACCTCTGTATCTTACGTAATCGTTGGGTAAGGATCCTGAAATTTGCTGAAGCGAGAGATATACCAAAAATGCACTCTCATCTTCAATGATATACACTGCTCGCCATGGAACCACCTTAATTTCCGGACAAATGATATTAGGAGTCAAAATAGGTCGAAAATCACTTCAGAATCGGAATCAGGACGCTCAATTCACTAACTATTCATATTTTTCCTGGAAAATTTTCAGTTCTGAAAAATTTAATTTTGTCGCACTGTTTACGGAAGCGCCTCCGTATTTTACGTAGTTGAGATTAATTTTGGAGTTTTCCTTCCTCCTGCAAGATACGGGGGTGCTTCCATGAGAAGTGAGACAAGATTTAATTTTTCTGAATTGAGAATTTTCTAGGAAAATTATGAATAGTTAGTGAATTGGGCGTCCTGATTCCGAATCCGAAGTGATTTTCAACCTATTTTGACTCCTAATATCATTTTCCGGAAATTGGTGTGGTTCCATGGTTGTTGGCGAGCAGTGTATATCACCCCTTAAGAGGGGTAGTTTATTCTCGAAGTTTTTCAAAAATTCTTGCTGTCGAGCATTTCTGGTTCCTATCTTTACATCCAATTACTTATTTGGATATCTCATATAGATTCATAGATGCTACCAGTGTAATTATTTCGATCGACAACTTCAGGGGGTGATTTGATGAAAAAATGCGGACCAGAAATGCTCGGTCAGCAAGGATTTTCGAACAATAGCAGGAATAAACTACCCCCCTGAAGAGGTGAATCGAAATAATTCAACTGGTGGCATCTATGAATCTATATGAGATATCCAAATAAGTAATTTGATGTAAAGATAGGAACCAGAAATGCTCGGCAGCAAGGATTTTTAAAAAACCTCGTGAATAAACTACCCCTCTTAAGGGGTGGATCGAGTTAATTCTATACTGGTGGCATCTATACATCTATATGAGATATTCAAATATGTATTTTGATGGAAAAATACGAATCAGAAATGCTCGGTCAGCAAGGAATTTTGAAAAACTGCAAGAATAAACTACCCCTCTGAAGGGTGGATCGGAATTATTTTACTGGGGGCATTTATAAATTCATATGAATATTCAAATATGCAATTTGAAGGAAAAATTCGAACCAGAAATACTTGGTCAGCATACTTCAATAATTTTGGTCAGCAAATTATATTTCCCCTCCCCTCGTTACGACTACTCAACTGACCAGAGCCTCCAGCCGGTCCATCCGCTTGCACAGCTCGACCAGCCGCTGCGTGCCCAGCATGTTGATGGTGACGGACAGCTTCAGCTTCTCGTCGAACTTGACGGTGGCTGCGCTGTGGAAGACGACGTTGACGGTGCGCTGGAGCAGCTGGCGATCGGTCGCGCCGATCGCCAGCTGCGGCTGCGTGATGTCGCCCTCGATAGCTTCGACTTTGCGCAGGTCGGCCGGTCTGTCGCGGCGCAGCGGGTCGAAAAGCTTCGAAAGGAAATCATAGAAATCAGCCATTTTTCTCAAAGTGGTCCAATTGATTTTAAAGAAAAAACAATGAAAATCCCAAAGTCTGTCGACCACAAAATCATTTAATAAGCGACGTGTGTTACTAGTTTCGGCCACAGGCCATCATCAGACACAAAATTGATGTAATATATGAGTACCTAAAATATAATGATTTACCCCATAACATTGTCTATCATTATATTTTAGGTACTCATATATTACATCAATTTTGTGTCTGATGATGGCCTGTGGCCGAAACTAGTAACACACGTCGCTTATTAAATGATTTTGTGGTCGACAGACTTTGGGATTTTCATTGTTTTTTCTTTATCTTCGAAAGGAAGAATAGATTCGGTTATTATGGGGTTTGATAACACATACGTCATCCAACGGATGAGTCCATGGACAAGAAATCTACAGGCTGTCCCATTTTCGGTATCCCTATGGGATACCTCTCTTATTTTTGAAGATAAAGATTTTCGGTTTTTGTGTATATAGGCTATTTTTTTCATGTCATTGGATCTTTCTTTTATTTGATTCAGACCAGGGAAGAGTCCCTCTTATCCTGATATCTATTATGAAACAAAATAGAAAACGGTATTGAAGTTTGATGCGAACAGCCCTTCTGCTCCAAATAAGTTTCAGAAATACATTCTGAGAATTGAAAAAGATGGAACGGAATAAATAAATATCAAAAACTTGAGAATAGTGAATTTTCTCTAGTTTATGGACAATCTCGGTCTTTTCAACTTTGATCGATCACCTGGGTCATAATCAACTGCATTTGATTGATTGATTGTCTTTATTGCCCCAAGAAACATAGTTGTTTATAATAGGGATACATAAACAATATACATAGTGTTATACATACAATTATGAAATTATAATAAGATATAACAAGTAAAAAAAAAACGCAAATAATCATGCAATATCAACCTAGTCTTTTATAAGTAGATATTCAAATAGGAAATGGAATTATCAAAGTCTCTGAAGCAGATATTTTTTTAAGTTAATTTTGAATCTATAGTTGCTTCCTGTATATTCCTCAATTGACTTGGTAATGAGTTGTATAGAACGATTCCTGTGTGAAAAATTGATTGTTTGCCGATATTTGACTTGAACGTATTTGCTATTAGTAAATTTGATTGTCTTGTTCCATGATTATGTAATGAATTGATTTCATTGAAATTTAAATTCGAAATTTTCAATTTATATAGAACAAATTGAGTAAAACAACATATTTTAAGTTTATATAGTGATGTCAGATCTAATAAATCTCTAGGTTTGTATAAATTTATGGTTGGTTCGAGAAAATTTAAATTGAAAATACACTTTAATGTTTTATTTTGTAATTTCGAAGAAGCTGATTCTCATGAACCTCAGCAGTCTTGATGTTTCGTTCTCTGATGACTGACACGATTGAAGGGAGTTTCAGATCCCTGGCGATCTGGTTATTCCGAACATACAAAGGAGATCCTGTCACCATTATCGCGATTTTGTTTTGTAATGTTTGTAATCTAATGATATGAGATTTAGCTGTGTGGCCCCAGACTACTGAGGCATACAGTAAAATTGGCCTGATAGCCATGATATAAATATTCAATTTTTGTCTCAAACCCAATTTACTTCGTCTGTTTAGAAATGGATACAGGGCTCCAATGGCTCGTTTAGCTTCTGAAACTTGCTGTTCAATGAAACTCACGATACCGCAAACAAAATAAAGTGCTCAAAGAAACAAGTGAACCACTGAAATATTTGATAATTTTCAAACTGCCATATCTCTTTAGAAAATGAAAGGATTTTCATTCGGAATGCAGTGCTTGGAAGATGCCATCTTTCTGTTCAACATTCCCCGTTCAAAACTCGTCGGTAGTTTTTCTGTCATTATACAAAGTGTTCGAAAAAAGTATAACCATCATAGGTTCGAAAAGACGCATTATATTGGGTGTTGCAGTGGTATTAATTGCGTAAATCACAAGAAATCGACTTTTTCGATTGATTTTTGATTACGCGTTGAAAAATCTTGTGATGAATAGGTTTCTTGACTTCATGTCAGCTCAGGAATATCTTAAAACCATTGTAGCATCGTTATTGTATGAATTGGTCACAAAAATCCAGAAGGGCCTCCTTGGATTGCCTTATCTGAAAAATCAAGAAATCAATTCGAGATATTGGGCTGAACAATCGATCCGAATGAAAGATTTGTGTTTAGCATAGTATATGGTTATGGCAACTGATCTCTGACCAAACTGAACAGCGATTTCACCAAATTCTGAACATTTCTCCAAAAAATTTATTTTTTCTTCTGTTGACGCAATATGAATCCATTTTCTAGCATGTCTTCAGTCGTATAGAGTGGCAAAATACGTTGAATGTGGCTTGCATAATTTTAAAATCGGAAATGATGCGATAAAAACCTAAAAATGAATAATTATCGATTTTGAACATCCTGTATGAGGAATATGAAAAATTTCAAAACCGTTTCGAGATATTGGCTTGAACGTTCGAAAAAAATGATTAATAGAAAAATAAAAAAAATTCCCTGGAATACGGAATACATTGTTTGTAATACTTTTATCGAAGTATAATGACAGAAAAACTGCCGACGAGTTTTGAACGGGGAATCTTGAACAGAAAGATCGCATCTTCCAAGCACTGCATTCCGATTGAAAATCCATAGATTTTCTAAAGAGATATGGCAGTTTGAAAATTGTCAAATATTCCAGTGGTCTACTTGTTTCTTTGAGCACTTTATTCATATCTCGCTTCAAACAATAAACTGATGAGTACTAAATAACTATCATGAGTGATAGTTGTAGAATCGAATCAAATGAAAAATATTGAAATGAATTAGGTAATCTCGGAAGTATTTCGCCAAATTGAAAAAGTGAGTCAGTTTTCCTTGCTTGATAAGAATCATTATATCAACAATCCACCAATAGTGTACATACATACCTTATTATTGAGATACTTTCTTAATCATTTATATTTATATGAAATTTCTATTTTGAAAGATCAGGAAAAAATATTGTGTTTTCGTACATCGCACCAAAATTGACCCAAAAATTTCGAAAAAATGGTTATTTATTATACAAGGGTGAAGAGTAGTAGATTTTAATTATTCAATTTACAACATAGGTGGCAAAATAACTTCAGACAACTGATTCACCGTCACCATAAAATTCTTCATCTGTATTCTGCTGGAATCTAACATAATTTAGTCTTCTTGACTTGACTTTCGTCTTTCGTCTAACATCTTCACTTTCACGTAGTGACCCAGTCACGAAATGTTCCGAGGTTCACTTTTTTCGGTATGTGTTGTTCGAATTCAAGTAGGCGATGACTCATTGGCGTAGGTACCGTTTCTTATAACTACTTATATAATATGAACAATAATTCTCTCATTATTCGAAATAACTGTTCATAATATTTTCAGTGAGTAATAATAACGTACTAAGTACTATTTCGAATTAATTTTTTACGGTCACTGCCAACTGATTGTTTTACCGTAATAAAACAATAAAAAAAACGGGTGTTATATACCATCAATGTACCAATAAGGAATTGTCAAATCCGAAGCCAATTCTTGTGCCGAGAATTAATATAGGTTCATTACATAGTTCCTCGCATTATATTCTCCAATACCGTCGATATTCATAGTTTTTTGATCTCTTGGAGCGCACCAAAGGGAATCCCTATAATAGTCGTGGAACATCGTGCGTGCCTAGGGCGGGTAATATTGAAGAAAATCTCTATTCAAAATCAAAAACAATGCCTATACCCATTAGGCAGGAATGAATAAACCAGACAACTTTATTTGAGGTATTCGTTGTTACATGACATTCAACTCCTTCACCTTTACTCAATTATTTTGCTATTTTTGAAATTGTTACGTGATTCCAGATAAGTTAAATTTATTTTCAGTTTCTGTCTGCAAAACTGCAGTACTCAACATCACCAATTTTTGGATTGTAATTCATTATATTTTATGATGATGAATAAATGATATACAGACCCAACTAAATACTTTATGAATTGTTCAAATTTCGAACGACAAATTAATTACTTTCCTATTACCTTATATAATGAATTCGGAGAGCGCTACTGATGAACAACATAACAATGATATTTATTGTTCATTGTCAATAACACAAGAAAGTACTTAGTAATTGTTCGCGTATTGGTTTGCAATGGATAAGTACAAGAGAAAGTATAGTCAAAAACAATATTGAAGTTCAGTTTTGTAAATTTGAGATATAAAATTAGTTTTATTTTGGTCCAACTTGATATTGGTATTTGATTTTTCAAAAAAATTAGAAACGGCGTCCGACACAATCAGATACTCAGTTCGTATAGGTTTTGCGCAATTTTCAGCAAATTTGAAACCGAGATATAACTTTCAAATCGGTGATGTTTGAATCTTTACCATAACAACTTAAAAAAATCCGAACATTTTATCTCCTTCTTTGGGTAAGCAGCATGAAATTACATTGGAAATGTTTTCTAGTGTCCTAAGTTGCTTCGTTTCTTATATACAGTGTGTCCCACTTACCTTGCTCACCATGGGTATCTTTTAAACGGTGAGAGATACGCGGTCGGTTAAATGACACCAAATGTGGAGTTTGTCAAGGCCAACTATAATGTGAAAAAAAAATTGATAAAATCTATTCGTTTTTGTTTTATACGCAAAAAACAGATTTTGATCATTTTCATGTCTCCTCCGTAACTTCTTTATTTATGAAAATATTCAAATAGGAATTTCTCATTCTCATGGCAGTTTTTCAATGTGATTTCGAAGAAAATATGAAATTTATACCAACTCTTCTAGAATTTGAGATATCAGCACCAACTTTAGTTTTTCAAATGTAGGTCATAGCTCACTATGACTTAGTTACAAATAACTTTTTTTTCTCTTACAGATGATATATCGCAGTAATAGTTTTGTGTTGATGAACAACGGAGTTATCGTTATTTAAACAAGAACAAGAAATTATTTGGAAGCCGCAATCTCGAATTTATAAATTTTAACAGAAAAATCATGATCTCCGACCTCAAAAACCCCCACTTACCAATTTTGAATGGAATCGGACCAAATCTTGTCCGCCATCTTGGAGCAGCCATTTTTTTTTATTTCAACAAAAACTCCATAATGTATTGTCACCGAAATTATGAACACCTGCCGAATTCCAAGTTAATCGGAGTTATGGAATTTTTGTTGAAATAAAAAGAAATGGCTGCTGCAAGATGACGGACAAGATTTGGTCCGATTCCATTCAAAATTGGTAAGTGGGTTTTTTTTTGTTAAAATTCATAAATTCAAGCTGGCGGCTTCCAAATAATTTTTTGTTTTTGTTTGAATGACGATAACTCCGTTGTTATCAACACAAAACTATTACTGCGACATATCATCTGTAAGAGAAAAAAAAGTTATTTGTAACTGTCATAGTAAACTAAAGTTGGTGCTGATATCTCAAATTCTAGAAGAGTTGGTATAAATTTCATATTTTTTTCGAAATCACTTTGAAAAACTGCCATGAGAATGTGAAATTCCTATTTGAATATTTTCATAAATGAAGAAGTTACGGAGGAGACATGAAAATGATCAAAATCTGTTTTTTGCGTATAAAACAAAAACGAATAGATTTTATCAAAATATTTTTTCACATTATAGTTGGCCTTGACAAACTCCACATTTGGTGTCATTTAACCGACCTCGTATCTCTCACCGTTAAAAAGATACCCATGGTGAGCATGATGGTAAGTGGGACACACTGTATATACAGGATGTTGAAGTTGGAAGTGTTAATTGTTTTTATTTATAACGTCCTTGTATATGCTTTCATGGTGCCAAAATTCAGTATGGTTGGAGACTGAAAAAATTCCAAAATTTCAAAATGATTCTTATTGAGGTTATTGAGTAATCTCAATGAATGTGTCGAGAGCACCTACATTAAAATTGAGAGTCAAATCGAATTTTCATAGTTTCCTCGAATACTGAGCAAGATTAAAAAAACACAGAGGATTTGAAAATTGATATTTCAATTGTTCAATTTAATAAATAATAATAAAGTCAGAAAAACCAGTGTCGATATTAACCGTAAATATTCACCATAAATATTGATAAAATAACGCACTGTGACGCAACTGAAAATATTATTTTGAATTTAGTCACATCAAACGAAGCTCCATGTTACAATCAACGAAAACCACCAAGTTTCATTGAAATTGGTAAAAATACATTTGGGTAATGATTAAAAAAACGATTTTTCATAGAAATATTAATACCCCGAGTACAGTCGTATTCAATAAAAAAGTGTACAAGTATTAAAAAGAGAGGATGACGTTAATTTTTCTCTGTTGAGCAAGTTGAGACACATGTTTATATAAACTTTATTTTCTGAACTATCACAAGGAGGTTTTTCCGTTTCCTCATTGTTATAATGAATTTTCATCCAGTAAAAGCCGATTCAATTCAATATTGAAGGAGTAAAAATCGTTCCCTGGAGATAACCGAAAGACTCACCGGTGAACACAGCAGCTGTTGCAACCGCTCTCTCGCCTCTTGCCCCTTCTTGGGTCTGATCAGCAGGTAAATCTTGGACACCTTGGGACAGGCTCTGAGCAGCTTCTCCAGCAGCACTTTGCCCATGAAGCCCGTGCCCCCCGTAATGAAGACCGTTTTGCCGTTGTAGAACTCGCTGACGCTGTCGCCGGTCATAGAAGTATTGAGGTCCGACATGATATGGGCACCTTCAGACACCATGTATCTCGGTGGGGTGTTGGGTTTTCTTTTTTCTTTGTCGAGAATGGGGCTTCGGTGGCTGTTAGAACGAGGGTCTGTAAGGGTGGACTGTTGCAGGAGGGATCATGCACTTGGAAGCATCACAGCGTTTTTCGCACCTGGAATAAGTAGTGGAAGAGTGACGTTTGGTGTCAAATTGACGCGATCACAACATCTCGATATTTTGGCACACAGGGGGATTGTCTGATTCAGAGAAGTTCATAAATACTCAAAATTACCTATTAATTGGAAGCTGCTGAAGCTCTTCAAAACAACAACGAAGAATAAACAGAGCTGGTAATTTCTGGAGAATATACAGCAAGATGCAATACTCAGGGTGTGATAAGAAGAAAACGATAGTCAAGCAGCCATTGAAGCACCTAACTCTACTGTTAACTGCTCTAAAATGGTTTGAGACTGCTGATACTTATAATTACTCATCAATTGGAGCCTGAAGCTCTTCAAAACAACAATGAAGACTAAATAAAGCTGGTAATTTCTGGAGAATATGCCGAATATTCAGGGTGTAAGAAGAAGAATTGGACAGTCAAGCAGCTATTAAAGCTCTGAGCTCTACGGTTATAAGCTCCAAAATGGGTGGGGAGTGCCGTAAAGACCTGAATGAGCTAGCACCCTCCTATGGGTTCCTGAATATTCCGGAGTACCGGAGTAGAAGGCAAGGAAGTAGCGAACGAACTCGCTAAAATAGGACTGCATACACCCTTCATGGGGCCAGAACCCTTCAGCGAGATCTGCAGCAGTACTGGTATCAGAAGAAATTAGAAGAGAAAATTAAGCTATGCCAATATTGGCACCTTCATTCACCATGTATCTCGGTGAGGTGTCTATATTTCTTTTTTCTTTTCGAGAGATGGAGCTTCGATGGCTGTCAGAAAGAGGATCTTCAAGGGTGGACTGTTGCAGGAGGGATCATGCACTTGGAAGCATCACAGCGTTTTTCGCACCTGGAATAAATAGAGGAAGAGTGACGTTTGGTGTCAAATTGACGCGATCACAACATCTCGATATTTTGGCACACAGGGGGTGTGTCTGATTCAGAGAAGTTCATAAATACTTCCAATAAGTACTCATTAATTGGAAGCTGAAGCTCTCCAAAACAACAAGGAAGACTAAATAGAGCTGGTGATTCCTGGAGAATATACAGCAAGATGCAATATTCAGGGTGTGAAAAGAAGAAAACGATAGTCAAGCAGCCATTGAAGCGCCTAACTCTACTGTTAACTGCTCTAAAATGGTTTGAGACTGCTGATACTTAGAATTACTCATCAATTGGAGCCTGAAGCTCTTCAAAACAACAATGAAGACTAAATAGAGCTGGTAATTTCTGGAGAATATGCCGAATATTCAGGGTGTAAGAAGAAGAATTGGACAGTCAAGCAGCTATTAAAGCTCTGAGCTCTACGGTTATAAGCTCCAAAATGGGTGGGGAGTGCCGTAAAGACCTGAATGAGCTAGCACCCTCCTATGGGTTCCTGAATATTCCGGAGTACCGGAGTAGAAGGCAAGGAAGTAGCGAACGAACTCGCTAAAATAGGACTGCATACACCCTTCATGCGGCCAGAACCCTTTAGCGAGATCTGCAGCAGTACTGGTATCAGAAGAAATTAGAAGAGAAAATTAAGCCATGCCAATATTGGCACCTTCATTCACCATGTATCTCGGTGAGGTGTCTATATTTTTTTTTTCTTTTTGAGAGATGGGGCTTCGATGGCTGTCAGAAAGAGAATCTTCAAGGGTGGACTGTTGCAGAAGGGAGCATGCAGTTGGAAGCATCACAGCGTTTTTCGCACCTGGAATAAGTAGAGGAAGAGTGATAGTTGGTGTCGAATTGACGCGATCCCGATATTTTAGCACACAAGGGGGTGTGTCTGATTCAGAGAAGCTCATAAATAAATGAATGAATAAATTCTCAAAATGACTCATTGATTGGAAGCTGAAGCTGTTCAAAACAACAACAAAGACTAGATAGAGCTGGTAATTTCTGGGGAATATACCGAAAGATGCAATATCCAGGGTGTAAGAAGAAGAATACGATAGTCAAGCAGCCATTGAAGCGCCGAGTTCTACTCTTAACAGCTTTTAAATGGTTTGGGAATGCTGATACTCAAAATTAGTCATTAATTGGAAGCTGAAGCTCTTCAAAACAACAACGAAGACTAAATAGAGCTGGTAATTTCTGGGGAATATACCGAAAGATGCAATATTCAGGGTGTGAGAAGAAGAATACGATAGTCAAGTAGCCATTGCCCGAGCTCCACTGTTATTAACAGTTCTAAAATGGTTTGGGACTGCTGATACTCAAAATTACTCATTCATTGGAAGCTGAAGCTCTTCAAACCAACAACGAAGACTAAATGGAGCTGGTAATTTCTGACGAATATACCGAAAGATACAATGTACAGTGCATACCTCGGAGGAAGCCTCGGAATATAATCTTGATCCCTGGGTAAAAATGATATTCTTTACTATCTTGGTGTATAAATAACTTTACTATTGCATTACTGTTTCCGTTTGAGATACAGGGCGATTTTGAAAATGTATACTTCTTGGAATTTATTTGGAGAGTTAAAGTAAGTTACCTTCCATACACATTATGCTAATGTTCCATCATTATTGAGATACAAAATGAGTATTTCGTTGTTAAAAATATGAGAAAAAAAAACATGACACCTTGTATCCTTTCTTTATAAAGAGGTTATTTATAATAATTACAGAAAATTTCTGGAGATATATGAATTAGGCAAACACAAATAAATTATTTATAATTTGTACGTCAAGGTAGGTACTTATCAAAACAATTTTGAGCGTTAAGATTGATTATTTTTTATAATAAATACTCTATTTAAGAAAAAAACGCACATGCAATGAAAACAAATTTAAAATCAACTTTTTTACAGAAAAGTGCTTCTTCTATATAAGTGGATAATAATTTTGCTGTCAGAGGTGTTAATTGGCTTATGAAAAATTGTAGTTTGCCTATAATGTGTCAACATATTCAAATGCATTGTACAAATTATATAGTTATTTACGTAACAAATCCGAAAAATACTGTTTTTCTTGAAATAATCGAAATGTCGACAACTTCCTGTAGCACGAGATCGGAAGAATTAACCATTCCAGAACACGTGATTTTGATATGGTTTCTTGAGGGGCACACAAACTATATGTTAGGTTACCTTTGATGAGCATCGTCTTGACCATCCCTGCCATATCCACAGTATAATAACAGTTCCACCAAACAAAATTATGAAATTCTTTCTGGTTCCAACTCGGATTCCAAGGAAAACGATCCCACTAATTCTGGTTTTAATATGACAAAATACCATGTTTGCCCCTCAGCAACATGTCAAATGACGTAATTCTGGAATGATTAATAGGTCCGGAACAACTTTCTTATCAAAAATTGACGTATTTGAAGATAAAACCATGTACCGAATTTGAATTAAAAAAATGCTACCGTTTTCCTGCAATTGAACCAAACCAATGTTCGTTTATTATAACTAAAACAATCTTTATCTTAGAACTAAGCACTTAAAGACCAGGGTATTACTTGTCGAACGTTGTTGGTCGAAACCCTGTAACAACCCCAAAAAATATATTCCCAATTATTATCAACATTCTCACAAAATGAAAAACTAGGAAATTCGAAAATATATATACAGGGTGGTACTTAAGTATTTGTGTGTACAGGGTATCCCAAATTCTATAACCGTATATTACGATCTCGGTAACCATAACAGATCCAAAGTCTGTTGAGTTAGGGCAATTTGCGAACAATTTTTTTTTTCAATAATCAAAATAATCGCCTCTCGAAAACGCTAGCTCTCGATGACATGACAATGACATACCGATAAGCACTATTGGTATTTAATTGCTCAAAAACCAATTAGAATATTTGGACAATTTACATAGAAATTAGAATTTTCTTCCACAATTAGTAGCAGTGTACTGGAATGAACACAATACATATTATATAAGGCGGATCGTATAATTGCGATGAATTGATCGCGCATATGACGTCACGAGCTGTCCCAAGTTTTTCATGTTATTAAATATCCTGAATTCAAATAAACATTTGAAATATGTACAGATCTCTGAGGAGGAAACGGTTCGCGACAGTGAACAAGCTTGGGTTAGTTTTTCAAAATACTGAAATAAAATTGTTCACTGAAACAGACCCATTATGCAGGTGATTTCGAATGCGAATATCTCGAATACTATAGCGAGTTGTATTCTTCTCAATATGACGTGTATTCTTGAAGAACAAAAAAGTTTGAGTGTTATTCATTCATTCCAAAAATGTAAGCTTATGTGGCAACCTCTAGATAGTTAGAAAGCTTCCCGTATAGTTTCGAAACTTTCATTTAGGTACCCATGTCCAAAAATATCGAAGTAATTGCGAAAATAAATTATACAGGGTGTTTCAAACAAAAATCAGTATCAAGATTTCAGTGACTTATTTTTTAGGTCAAAATAAGACTTTTTTTCAGTGACGGCAAAACAGTTTGAAATTTCATCTCTATTGACAGGTTATAAAATGTCACTTTTTAAAAATTACTTTTTTTTCCACGGGAAAAAAGTGGGTACTTTTTTACCGAATATATATCACATATATATACACTGTTAATGGCTTTTGTTGTTCTATAGTTTATAGTTCCGAAAAATGAGTCAATAATACCGTCTCCGAGAAAGCACTGCAAGTCCTTTTATCTTCCATTCGACTTCGCGGTTACGATACTAAATAACCACTACATTCGTAATTTTGTTTACTTCTGAGTATTTTCAAATGAGTTTTCACGCGTTTTCTATCCCTGATTCATTTTACCCCACTGGGGGGTAAAGTAAATCAGATTTCACGAAAAAAATGAGGGCCTTTTCCTTAATTTCTTGAAATTACTTTTGCCTTGAGTCATTCGAAAACGGTGCCAGGATCTACATTATTTTTTGTATATTTTTTGTCCCAATACTTCTCGAAAAAACGATGAAAATAGTTATTTATTATACGCGTCGGTAGACAAC